CAAAAAATCATGAAAAACTCAATCCTCATGACAGCTCCGGTGTTTTAGCGCCGTTTACTCCCACTACCCACTTTTCACCAATCAACGCTCGGTGTCAAAGCGCCGGTGTCTGTATGAGGATCCAGCCTTACGCGTTGAAACGCGAAAAATAACAATGCATGGGATCGCACCCTAGTGGGTCTCCATCGAGAGTAATCGCGAAAGCAAAAGTGCTGCACGGAGTACATCGAGGAGAATCTTGGAGTTAAGAGATTTTGCTTTTCTAGGTTAGAAATCATTTTGTTTATACGCAAATAGTTGCGATATTGTTTGTCGCAAACATTTGCATTCATTATTTGTACATCTACGGTTTGCATTAAAATTCAATTCTACTCGAGAAAATTGCATAATTTATATTTTTGTTTTACAACATAAGTTTTACTATAGTCCAAAACTGTATAATGAGTATATAATTTGTATCGGAACAGTGTGTTTTCAAGGTTCGATTTTTAGTGTTAAATTTGAACATCATCCTGCAACAACACCTGAAAGCTAGTTTCCGCGTGAACTAACTCGTCACCCACAACTTTTGAATGCATCAGGCGGGGAACAGAAGAATAGCGTTTGAGCTTATAAGAGCGGTAAGTGTGTGTATGTGTTGTACAAGATGAGCGATTCACGCTTTATCTATATTCGCGACTTAACTGCGCGGTCAGTGTTAAAGTAATTAACTTTAGGCTAGATATTGGTACAACGCGGTGCATTAAATGCGTGAATAAAGTAGTAACTTTTCTATATGCAGAGACCATCTAATTATATCTAATATGCCTCAGTCACTTCGTTCATAAATATTTGTGTATTTTTTATAACCGAGGAAAAAAAAATTGAGGCAAATCCGTCGCTTTCTTGGAAACTTATGTATGTAATATCGTAATCAGATCTACACAACGTTCGTATGTTGTAAATCGCAAGCTGCGTGAGAATAGATTTTTGTTTTCGTGCTGAAGGCGTCAATTACATTTTTCTGACTTATTAAATGTAGGACATAGATAAACCAATGCCGCACGAAAGTGAGTTAAGTATCTGAATGCAGTCGCATGATACTCATATATAATAGATATAACAATAATATTTTGCGAACTACGAGACATGGAAATTCTATAAAAGCGCGGTTATTTTTCCCGCCATGGGGAATATAAAATAATGTTAAAAGACCCAATGAGATATTCGACAAAAAGTATTTAAAACGATCAAAGGTCTTTTGTAGAAAACAATGCAAAATACGAAGTTTTTTGGGAGAACGGACACTAGAGGAAAAAGACTCTAAGGCCGTTCTTTATTTATTATCTGCGAGACGATATGAGTTTTTCACAAAGGTGTCTCTTTCTCGTGTTCCGCAGTTATAATTAATATTGCGCTCGGAATTTTAGGAAAATTTTAACAAAAAAACATATTCTATGCCGAAGTATCTTAAGAACCAAACAAAAAAGAGAAAATTGAAGAAATAAAACTAGGTATTCAGAGTATAAGAATTGAACGTAGTAAGTGTTCAGCTGACAATAATATCCGAATCTTATCATCTATTAATTATCAGTTATTATGTTATTACGTCGTGTTTAGTTTTTAGAAGAGGAAGTTCTGAATGATGACGTCTTGAGAATTTAAGCCATCAGATTGAACGTTTTGAATTCGTTCATTTATAGCGAGATATCGATAAACGAATCCTTTTTCAAAGAGATAACAAAATCGGACACAATCTGTGTGAGAAGCGAGCTACTTTACACGTCTTCTACAACCGCTAAGCAAGTGCAATATTATCGGCAACGGAAATCGCGTGTACAAACCAACGTTGCAACGCGATTCTTGCGTCATTCATGCGCATTTTTCAATCATGCGTTGTGTTTTTGCTGGTATTGTCCGACGATGATTTGCCGCGTAAGCGGTTTTGATTAAAAGAACAAGTATAATAAACGCGCGGGTTTTTTGCGCGAAAATAAAATAATATTTAAAAAAAACGAGTTTCTAATTAATTCAGTCTTTCAGAAGGAAGTCTCATTAAAATACTTATTACGCTATATGCAGCAACTTTGTATCTTATTCTGTTTATATGTTTATTTCGCTCTGTAAATAGAGTATGTTTTCTCACAAAACGTTTTGGCAACTGTCACAGGATACCTTACCTACCGGCGCATTGCAGTATCTTTGAGCGATCCCAATAGATCGCGACCTCTTTTCCGACCGACGGGAAATACTTCCGCGAATTCATTTCCCGATCACGATGCTTCTCAGAAATCTTTCTGCGAGAAGGATAATCGAGAACCTTGAGGGTAATCGACGGTGATATCTTCATACCTGCACGCTGTTTCTCGCTAAATACTTGTGACCAACGCGCGCACGTAACAAAAAATTACGCAATGTAACGCCGGATGGATTACCGCGATTTGCATAGTAGGTTGGATGCAGTCGTCGACCAAAGCCAGAGCGGTGGATAGATAGCCGTCAGCTGGCCCGTTAAATACGAGAGCGTGTGTAAAACGACCTTGCGGTTTGTTGAGAAACAAAATACGCGAGACGCCTGAGAAATGACTGTCGCGAGGCGGTCGCTTTCGTTTCCGTGTGTTTTGTACTGCGTCAAAAGAGTCTTTTTCCCCATCATTCCCGTCAGAAAGCGTGAGTCGACGCGAACGACGTTTAACGTGCAATGTTCGCCGTACCTTCTTGGGAGACTATTTTGAGGTACATTTCCAATAATAGGCTATTTTATCTAGAAAAACAGATTTGCTAACCTCGCATCTTTGTTTGCGGGTATTTCAGATAGTGAACTTCAATTATGCTCGACAAATTAGAGGTGAAACTTGAAATTATGCTGATTATTTTTATCTAGAAAGATTGTTTCCGGTATTTTTTGTCCCTTTTTCTTCGGTACATTTAATGCGAGTGAGTGCGCGCACGCACATCTTCTAATCTTATAAGATAGAAAGACAAATTGAGGGTCGTTACGCGATATAGAATTATAATAGAACCAACTTTACGATCAAGAAAAAGACACTGCTGACCCAAAACAGTATTTGATAAAAATCATTGTTACGCTGTGATCTCCGAACGTTCGCGATAATCCGAGACATTTTACAGCGCATTTATTTTCGTCTAATTCTCAACGTATGACAAGAATGTACAGATACTGTATTTTTAGGCCCGGGGATTTATGAAACTCACTTTTCGAGAGAGGCACGTAGGAACGATTAGCGAACGATTTTATCGCGATCTTTCGTGTTTTTAAAACGACCTTTAACTTATCTCGCGTGTACGTACGTATATCTACTTATTACTTGTATGCGACGATCGATCCTTTGCGCCCAAGAACTTGCACGAACGTGTGCAAGTTTCGCAAACGTGAGAAAAAAAAATGTGTCGCGATGTATTTTGCCGAAATACGTTGCTATTTTTTTCTCGCTGCTATATATTGTCTCATTGTTTTATCTCGCAATAAACACGTATCTGCCCGATCCACTCCAGAGAACGCGCAGGTAAGCGCAATTCAAGATGCGCCATTCGCGCGAACGATCCGAGACGATAATAAATTTGCACACGGTTTACCCAATCGAGGAAACGCGCGCCAAGTTTCGACACCGCGAAATCCAATTATATTCCTTCGTCGCAAATTGCATATTGCGGTGTTATTTTAAATCTTCCTCCTGAATAATCATTTTTCTTCCAAAAATCGTTTGACGTATTTGTAATAAAAACATCCGTATTTAATAAAATTTATCTTAAAATATATCTAAAATCTGTATTATAAAATTGATTATAAAATTAATTTTATTATAAAATTAACTTTATTAATGTAAAAGATGAAACAGTACAATCCGCTTGATTAAAAGAGAATACATAGAACTCCCTTTGGGCGTTACAAAATAATCCGAAAAGGTTAGGCTGTTTATTTTCTTGTTTTTAAATAGATCGGTCGCAGAATTTTTGTCTTTTCAAAATTCCGCAAAACATTTATATTCTTACAATCTCCTATTGTCAAATTTATTCCGAATAAATTCCGTAAGTAGAAGGTTGCCAAGACTTCTTTTTAAAATTCCGTAAACACAGCGTTCCCCCGTGTTCTTATAATATCCTTATTATTAAATTATTAATAATTATTATAATTATTAATTATTAAATTAATTATCTCCCAAATTTTGACTCTGTAAATGTTACAAATTCCTCTTCCGCTCCCACATTCTATTACATCGTGCACGCTAACCGCGATCACGCGTACGCAGAATGAAAATAACCTTGCACGATCGCGTTTACCCAAGCGAGATCGTGTTTTGACGAAAGAATTTTAACAATGGAGATCGTGAATCGGTCACCAGTAGAGACGCCCGGTGATACTCGTATGCGGCAAAAAGCGGGATCTCTCGGTTGCGTCGCGCACGCCGCGCCTCCTCGCACGGCGCAGCCAGCTGCAGTGTGTGGTTAGTACGCGAATTCGCGTACGACGTAGTGGGGCACATTATCCGCGAGAGGGTGTCGCGAGTCGTGGCGAGGCAGGTCACGGGCTGGAGCGGATCATCAGCCATGGAACACAGGCGCGCCGAACGCTGAAACGGTTAGGTCGCAAGCGGTGTCCGCGGTGCGGTGTTCGTTGTTTCGGTCTCGAGTTCTGTGGTGTTGTTCGGCATCTCTCTCTTCCGTGCCACCGCGTCCGTATTTCTGTCTTTGTCTCGTCCCGTTCCCGCGCTTTTGTTTCTCTCTTTCTCTTGCCTGGTCCCGCGAGGTACTCCAAGAGTATCCGAAGGAAGCAAGAAGAGAGCAGCTCGCGCGACAAAAGGGGACGGCGGTGCGAGAAACTTGACTGAAATCAGGGAGGGAAAAGAAGGGACGCACAGACGCGTTGTTCTCTCGTTCGTCGGTGGTGTACAATGCGATGCTGATGATACGTGCGCTTATATAATTACCTGCCGTCGGTGTATACGAGTATACATATATATATACACAATTACGCGTGCAAACAATATCCGGACGGTGTAATTGTGCGTCGGCAGTTTTCTTTGGTACGTATACGATACATAGAGAGCAGAGTAGCACATATATATGACACATTGCATGTTACATGATGCACGGTCTTCCCTCCCCTTCTTTCTTCCTCTTCTCCGTCTCCCTCTCCGCGTCCCACTTCTCTTTCACTCTCTCTCTCATCGCGCGCGCTCTCGCCCTCTCGCTTCTCCACCCGGTGCATATCTTCCGTCTCGCTCTTTCTCTCGCACTGACAGCTTGTTCGATTCTCTGCTGCCGGGTCACTAGCGCGTTTTCCCGGGGCTATTCAAAACAAGGCCAAACCGTCTGTAGGCCAGCCGTCTGTAGGCCTGCCGTGAAAAAACCACCCCAACTACCACCGATGGTTCAGTAGCCGTTAAAAAAAAAAAGAAAAAAAAACCGATAGTCAGATAATTGGCGTTTCTGGCGGAACTCCGAAATTCCACTCTCCTCCCTCTTGTCTTCCCCTTCCCCTTCCCCTTTACTTTCGCATTCTCTTCATTTGCTTCTCATTTCTCGTTTTTTTTTTTGTTCTTTCTCTTTAGCTATCTTCGTTTTTGTTGACAACGGAAAAGACCTCGGCTTTGGTTCAAACGTGCGACGATATAACGACAACTACAATTGGCGCTTTCGTGTAAACATCGTCTAGTACGCGGAAATTTTTTCCTCTCCCTTCTCGTACGCCTGTCTAGGCGTTTGTGAATGAATCGGAACTCCGCGCGTTGCTCTCTCTCTATCTCTCTATCTCTCTCTCTCTCTCTCTCTCTCTCTTTCTTCTCTTCACTTCTCTTCTCTTCTCTTCTCTTCCCTTCCTCTCTCCCCTTCTATGTCTTTCGGCCGATTTATGAATTCGCGCGACGGCAACTCAATGAAATCCAACGTAAGCTCCGACACATGCTGCCTGCTCTTGTGTCGAATGTTTCTAGACCAAAGAGAAACGTGCACACGCAGTCCCGTTTCATTAGCGTTCTTTCTCACATCGACTCCTTGCAAGGTTTTTATACCGATCGTTCCCAACAACGACGATTTTTCTAGATGCGTGCGCCTAGAAGATTGAAAAATGGAGAAATTACACTTGTGTGCGATATTTTTCTTGCAATGATCAGACGATGTTTTTTTGATGAAAAAGAGTTTTAATTGTTAAATGTTGAAGAGTTTTGGAATAAGAAAAAAACTCCTTAAAGCGACAACAGACTTGTTAGAAGCGTTCAATTTTGTAGCGATTTAATTTTTGTTAGCTCATATGTAAAAGTTTTTTCGCGGTTATAAACTACTTATAACGTCCACTTTGATTTCTCACCAAGCTCTATGGTTCTGTTTTATCCTTACTTGCCTTTGTTTGTTTGTTTCTCATACACAGGTCTGCCATCAAAATAATTATTGCACATTTATTTTCTATTTATTTTGAGATTCCTTAGAAAAAAAAAGAAAGAAAGATGAAAGCATTCGAGAGCGCAGGCGGGTCTACAAACGCGGCGCTGCCGTACGGCGAAGAAGTAGTAATGATTTTGTTTATATTTTTTTTTGTATCTGCCGATGACCCCGTCGATGGTTGTTTCGCTGGATGCCAGTTGGAGTACACAACAACCGCAGACTCAATTGCTGGTGGAGGACCCGTCGGTCGCGCAGCAGGAGCAGCTGGAGCAGGAATCAGACCAACAACAAAACCCGCATCAAAGCCCCCCGTCATCTGTGGATTATTATATTACGGAGAAACCGCGAATCATCATGACAGACCAACGGGGAGACGAACGAGCTCAAAACAAACAATCACCACTGCAATCGCAGCAACAATCGCATGATCAGACGCATCAACAGGGTACAGGAGAGCAACAGCAACAAGCTTACCAACAATCGGCGGCACAGTCCGGCAACAATCAGGGAATCAGGATTAAAGAAGAGCCAAGAACGAATCTGATTATCAATTACCTTCCACAAAATATGAACGAAAAAGAATTGTATAGTCTGTTCGTGACGATTGGTCCTGTCGAGTCTTGCAGAGTTATGAAAGATTACAAGGTATGGATTTTTTTCGATTTTTATATTTCTATTATTTTATATTATTATTTATTTATATTACATATTTACATTTATTTATTTCTATTTAAATTACGTTTTAGTTGTTTTTTTTTATGTAAGGAAAAAATCAGGTTATCAGTGACGTTGATAAGTAGATTAATTGTTTTTATTTAAACAGACTGGTTACAGTTACGGATTCGGTTTTGTCAACTATGCCAAGGCTGAAGACGCCGCGAAAGCGATAACCGCGCTGAACGGACTTCAAGTGCAGAATAAACGTTTGAAGGTATCGTTCGCACGTCCCTCAGGAGATGAAATCAAGGAGACTAATCTTTATGTCACCAACTTACCCCGGTGATTATCATTTTCCTCAAAATTTATGTAAAATTAATAATAATAATAATATATAACATTATACTATCGCGGTAAGATATTCGGATACATGTTGTGAAACTTGTCGGAATTGATTTGAATTTTTGTTGTTTCTTTTTCTCACGAAAGAAAAAGAAAACCGGGCAAAAAATCGAAATTGTTCCAAAGCGAAATGATCTGAGGAAAGAACACGGCATTTTTTTTTCAGAAATATCACCGAAAGTCAGATCGACGAGCTTTTCAGCAAGTACGGAAACATTGTACAGAAGAACATATTGAAGGATAAACTTACAGGCTTACCGAGAGGTGTAGCGTTTGTTAGGTAAATAATCAATTAGTTTCTACACGATAAGTAACACGGTTATTAATGTCGGTTTTTTTTTCTATGTTTCAAGTGTCACAAAAATGTCTTCTTTTATTCACACAAGTGTGTGACGCACGATATCGAAAATTGGAACAAATTCAAAACACATGTTCGCAACAATCATGCTATATCGTCGTTGCTCGACGAAGTGTCGTGCACATTCGTGCGCGCGTGTAAATTTTGCGTAAATTTCTTGCCAAAGTATTTCTATCGCAGCTCCTAGTTTCAATTACATAATTCTGACGCTCTCTTTAAAGTCTGACCTAGATAATTGCAAAACGTGTACGATCTAGAGATGTTAAAATTGTGGAAAATAGGTTGTTTCAAAATAACTTGCGTGTGCTTATCTATGCCAAACGGACGCAGAATTTTGTTGAAATAACTTTTGATATCTCTCGTGATTTAATTTCGTCGAGTTTGGAGAGAAGAGGACGATCAAAAAGAAAAATAAAGAAAAAATAACTGATTAATTTTGTTACAACGTTGTTGTGAAACTTTGAGAGTCTTGCGCACGAATCGTATTTTCATTCATTTTAATTTATTTCTGGATAGATTAAAAACAATTATACTTGAAATTTTTTTATCCAAAACTTCGTTATGCTCGATCATATTTCATATTCTTCGTGACATAGATTCGATAAGAGGGAAGAAGCGCAAGAAGCGATAAACCAACTTCACGGTACGGTACCAGAGGGTGGATCGGAGCCGCTTAGTGTAAAAATCGCTGAAGAACACGGAAAACAAAAAGCAGCATATTATGCAGGTTGGCAAGCGGGATATAATCAAAGTCGTGGTAAGTAATTTTTTTGTAAAGCATTACGGTAGTAATTTTTCAATCTCACAGCCTGGCAGTAGTAATCGATCGATCAAAAACGCGTTTTTTTCTCACGCGCGTTTTGTTTTTCGCGTTGAAATTCAAAATCCTCGAGGGAGAAAAAAAGCCACTAAAATCAAATTGCCACTACCAGGCGAAGCTTGCAATGCTTTTTTCTAGTTTTTTATACATATGATGTTATAATTTTAGCGATCTGAATTCATTTGCATCTCCAGTATGATTGTATGAAATACGAATCTAGTTTACTAATAGAGAAGCACTTTTGACGGAAACTCGATGTATTGTTCAATATCATACGATCATTTAATTTGATCCAAAAATTTTTCTATTTGCTTGAACAGAATAATTTTAATTTTATATTTTTCTCTATTTACTTTTTTTGTTATCTAATTTTTTCCATATATATATTTTTTTAACTACTTTTTTGTACATCTTACGTTTCGACTTTCCTAGTGTCTCGATATATCTCTCGGATTAGCAGTAGTAAATGAGTTTTGTATGCTACGCTTCTGCAGTGACACGTTTCTGTTACCACATTTACATCCGTCTTTTGCATTCACGAGACAACAGTCATCGATTTTCTTCCGTGACTCGATAAAATTTACTTTTTATTTTTTTAATTTGTTTTTTTTTTTTTTTTTTAGTTTTTTATTTTTTTTTATTTATAGGTAGACAAATATAATTGACTGGTTTGTTCAGTATTCTTTATAGATAAACATCATATTGTTTTTTTTTTTTTTTTTTTTTTTTTTTTTTTTTTTTTTTTTTTTTTTTTTTTTTGTTATGCTGTTTGTCTAACATTGAAATGTTTTGTCAGATAAGATGGCTGCAAAATCAGACCACCACCTAACGCGCTAAGCACCTTTTGTGTATACAAAGAACTAAGGACAGTTTACATTCTGATACGTAACACACATGACCATGTTAAAAAAAAAAGACGTTCAGAGAAAGATGTGAACGAATGGAGAGAGACGTTTTACGTGGTTTTTTCTAAAAATGGTGTTTTTCTTTTTTTTTTTTTTTTGCTACTTTTTCAAAATAATACGAGTACAACTCGACTGTGCATTAAAAAAAAGACTCCGCTCACGTTCAGGCGATTATTTAAAAAAATATTAAAAAATATTAAAAAACAGATGAAAACAACGGAATGCCGCTTTTTTGTACAATGCGATCGAGCAAGCAAGAATGTGATAAAAGTGTTTGTGTGTCCGGTGACATCTACGAATATCATTACGTATACGTACACGTATATATGCTAGTTTAATGGCGGCCGTTCTCTGCGATGTGTAACGAATAACTCACGGAAAAAACAACACATCTCGTCCGCCGCATGAAAAAACTAAACAAAAAATGGAAATGTTTATAAAAAATTTTCAGTTCTGGATTACCTGGACCGAATTACTTTACTGATATTTCACTGTCTTCTATTTTTTTTCTTTTTTTTTTTTCAAACTCTGCTGCTATTTGTTCGTTTTCCGCTTGTTACTTTGTTGTTAAAAGATTAAGATGAAAGTAACTTACCGTTGCCCGTATATGATGTTATTGAGCACACAGTATAGCTTTTTCCGCGTTCGCCGATATTATCAATATCATGTTCTATTATGGCTGATGCTGTTTGTGCTTTAGCGCGCGACTAAGGCGTTGTTTAAGTTTCTGTGTACAAAAGATTTTGTTGTATATATATATATATATATGAAATATATATATATAATATATTTATATACATATATTATTTCTTCAGCGAAATACATACTTTGTTTTTACAAACATATGTATATGTATCTCCTATTCTTCCTTCTGTTTGATTTTTCAGCAAAATCCAGAGCGAGTCGGGCAAATCATGTGTCACATAAAAAACGCTTTCAATTTTTATTATTATTATTCTTATTCTTCTTATTATTATTTTGAATAAGATTGTTCTTTCTTAAAATCTGTTGAATTAGCTGGCATATCTTGTTTTTTTTTTGTTTTTAGTTGCAAATTGATTTTGCAAATACCTCTTCAGTTTCAGGGTAATGTCTTGAAATCGCGAGAGAAAAACTTATCGAAAGACTCGCTCGCGAACGATGATTACGTTATTAGCAATTTGTCGCAATTATTATATTTCTATAGCTGTTGATTGATTTGACCACGTCTGTGCTTTAGTAAAAGAACGTCCAAGTGCATGATGCTATTGTTATATCCTTTTTATCGAGCCGTGTTGTGAGAGCGCGTCACACTTATTTAAAAAAAAAAAAAGTGAAATTTGTGTGAGAGTGACCTAATCAAATAACATTTTTATTTCTATGCTTGCCTCGACTCGTGAAGGAGAGCGTCTGTACCCGACGAGGAATAAATATCAGCGCTATGCTCATTATCTTTACTAAAAGGCGAAACAGCTGTTATTGTAGTTATCGTCGCCGTGGCGTTGTGTACATTCCGAGTAATATATATATATATAATATATATATATATATATAATATACATGCGCGCGCGCGGTTGTGTAATCAAAGGAAGGTCTGGCGATAGAGCGATTCGCGGGAATCGTGAAAAACGCGGTCGTATACAAGTCACAATGTGTTCCACTGATATGTAACTTATTGTTAGTGTGTAACTTCGAGAAACTCGACGCCGTGCGTTCATTAAAGGGATCTTAGGTCTTAGGTGACCGAAGTATTCGTTTAATTACTGAATCTCTTTTTTTCTTTTTTTTTTCTTTTTTTTCTTTTTTTTTTTCTTTTTTTTTTCTTTTTTTATCTTTTTTTCTCTTTTTTTTTTTTTGTCAAAATGCATACAAGAAAAATCGCATCAATCCCCACGTCGCGCCGTTATGACAATTAAGTCTCGATTTTTAACGCTTTTCAGTTGACGTCGAGAAAAATATAAGATTACTTGCTGTGTGTACTCGGAGAAATATAAATTATACATATAAATGTATAACTGTCGTCAATTTCGCTTCCGAGGAATTGAGCTTGATTTCGCTAGCGAATGTATTGAATGAAGTTGCGCGTATCGGAAGCTTGACGTTGATTTGACGTTTGCTCAAAAAACGATAGTGAGGATAATAAATCGCGTTTGTTCGACGCGTTCGAGTACTTTACACTGCGTAAGAATCTATACATCGTAATTTTAAGTCTGTCATATATATTTTTCGTTCTTAACATTATTAAGTGCGTAAGATCGTCGTCGCGCGAAAACGATTGAAACAATATCTCAACGCGCGATTGGATTAGATTATTGCGATTCATCTTTTGTTTGATTTTTTGATCCAAGACGCATACAACGATTTTTTTTTAAGACAAAAAAAACATACGATCGCGAGTCGATGTAGATCGATCTCGCGACAATGTGTGGAGAATAATGATAGTTTGTCGGAGCGGATTTTAAAAAAGCGTCTGTTGTAGCTAAACAAACAGGTGTCTAGTAGATTTGCGTGTAAGCACTGCGATCCATAGATTAAATGTTATTCGATAAAAAAAAACAAAAAAAACAAGCGTTTTTTCGTAGTAGCGCGCGGTCGACGCGTTTCCGAAGTTTATTCGGAAGTTAGCCGGGAAGAAAAGTATCCACACATATGCGTATTTCCGCTGCGGATACATTTAACTTATGTTCTCGGTGGCAATACGGAATATAAAAAGAAACGCAAGTGTCGCAAATGCTTTGCACTTTCGATTTTATATTATCGAGCTAGGCACATTATATCTATATTTCGCGTAAAAGAAATTGCGCTTGAATATACGTCCATTGTTGTCACGACTGCTGTTCTTGTCCAATTGCACGTTTTATGTTTTTCGTCAATTCAACGAAGTTTGAATTGTTTTCGAACAAAAGATTTATATAGACGAGCAGGTCCGGTAGATTTAATATAGATATTGTTTGTTGCGCGTCGCTGCTTTTTATCTCGAGGATGAACTGTCTGAAATATGTGTCTTGGAAATTGAAAGTTACGAATTGTCGATATATGCACAGCGCCACCGAGAGCGTTACGAATAGACTAGTCACTGATGTACGGTAGACAGGAATATTGTTCTCAATTCTCGTAGAGTAGAGAATATCGCGTCGGTGAAAAACATAAAAAAAAAAAAAAAACGATTATTCTCGCTGTTAGAAACTTTTGTCTCTTTCGCTCTTTAAAACGCGAATTAACGTTAAATAAATAGAACGAAAAACCGACGGCCGGAAAAAGGTGGATCCTAAGACCTAGGAAAAGTATATCTATATATACATATTATATCTCCTTCCATCCTCTCTGACAATCGTCCATCCTTTGTGGATTTTATCGCACTTTCATCCAATCGCGAAAGAAAACGAAACGCAGTCACATTTGGAGCGCAATGGCGATTTATTAATTTTTGCTTATATAATTCTAATATTTATAGACATAATTGAACAAACACTTTTTTACTTTTCCGTAAAATGTGATGATCTTTTGTATCGAGTAGCTGAGTAAAATAATTAAATATATTTATGTGATAAATAAGGTTGTAATATTAATACGATAGAACTCCGGTAATTTCGAGCGCACAGAGAGAGTACCCGATTCTTCCTAGAATTTGTGAAATTACTTTCTTACCGTTCCAGTTAGTGACTGACTGATAGCAAGAAACGAAAGATATATCTATATTTATCTGTTTCTTAGAATGGGGATAAACGCGTATTGCGAGTTGCGCAGTCACTCGAGATCGGGGAATAATCACTAGGGAACCTATTGGTTCGCCCCTAAATAAGAAGTCAAAATTGTGTGAATTGCTCGATATTACTGGAGTTCTATTATATTTTTAAGATATTTTTAAGATATGTACATATAGTTTTCATTTTGTTATATATTTATAGAATAAAAAATTGTTATATATATTATACATATTGTTACATTGTTATATGTTGAGTAGTTTTTATACTAGTGGCTGTAAAGATTTATAAAATTCGCACTGCCTGGTACAACGACGGTGTTTGTTATAGATTTTTTTCTTGCGAGTGTGATTTCTGCTTTTTATTAAAAAAAAAAAAAAGAAACAACGATCCGAAAATCTCGTTGTTTTTTGTGCCCTAATGTTTGATCGCGTTCCATTTTCTTTTTATCGTTGATCGCGTTAATGAGCGATAACGCCCTTTCGAGGTTTTTCTGCTCTTGACTGCTGTTCATTCGGTCTTGACGTGAATCCTTAATTGCGCTAATTAAGGAAAACATCGCGAAATAACATAGGAGTTCTCTGACGAGAGTTAATCGGATAATCAACGAACGCTCGAACGTTCGCGCGTATAGCGTCAACAGTTAAGAGCCGATACCTTTAAGTCACACAGCGCGATCGAAGATGCGATCCACCTTGCTCAAACGTAAGATATAGTTTAGACGCCTCCTCGTGAGAGAGGTGAGAAGCGGGCAAAATCGGAACTTTTTAGGAATTTAATATTGCGAATGCTCCGGCGTTTGACCTGCTTCGATTGCTGACCGATCGATCGTACGGCGAGTAGATGAACTACTTTTTTTTCCAAGCGCTAATGCGTTGTACGAAGTACGTATTGCGCGAAAGCATCGATTCGGAAAAAACACGCAGCAGAAATTCCAATACGTATTTTTTCTTTTTTCTGAATTGTATTGCTTGTTATTTCAACGACGCTTTAGTAGCAACCAATTCAACTAATATAAATGCAGTGTAACGTTTTTTGTTTTGTTTCTTTTTTTGTTTAATATATATATATATATATATTCGATAATCTATAATTATATTTCATAAATGTAATTTTAGATTGTTTAAATAATTTTTGACGATCAATCGGTCAACGAGTTAATACGTAATGTATTACGCAGAGCACGATCGCTGCAATATTACGATAAATAGATTCTATATTGTGGAAACTTAATCCGTAAGATAAACAAATTACCATAAGATGTCTTTCCATATTGTTTGCGCCATGGAGAACTCCCGTCGTTTTTCATCTTTCGGATCGTGTACACTCTGCGATATATGTGTACACACACTTATACACACATCGATACATTTTGATTGAAAGGAGTCGTGAATGCAGACATTTGAAGTGAAATATTTGTGATGTAAAAATATATTATCGAAACTTTTTGCATATATACTACATACATACATTATATATATATGTATACATATATAGTTTGCAACAAGACATTTATTTTCAAACGCAGTGATTGAATGATCGGAAATGCGACGCGAGATCTACGTGGCGTTGTAAATCCAAAGAGATACGAATGTAAATAGATTTAATTCTAAACTGTTAAGTAGTAAATGTAAGGTTTAACGGATCGAAGAATGTGCGAAATGGTTAATCCCGAAGTCCAGTAGTGCTAACGATGGCTGTGATAAGAATAAGGAAAATAACTAAGAAGAAGAATGCAAAAAGAAAAAGCAAAAAAACACTAACGAAAATCAGCAAAATTAGCGAAGCTTATCCTTCCTCTCTGCCGGGCTAATTTTTAAGATCGATTTTGGATTGATTTTTTGATCGCACACGGTGTCGATTTGGGCGTTTAAAGAGTAGTCCGAGTACGCATTTAATTTAACGATCAAAACGATATTTTAGAGACAAAAAGTGCTTGGCTTCAAAAAAGCATTTGTTAAAAAAATTACAATCTTGAAATGTTTGTAACACAAAAAGTCCTCGTATTACAAAAAACGTCATCGTACTAAGTGGCTTTCTTGAGGCTAAGCACACGAGTGGTTCTATTTAAAATATTCGATAAATATAAAAGAGTTATTTAGGTGATTTTAAAAAAACCTCACTCTATACATAAAAACATTATCTACGACCGAGAGATTTTACGTAGAAAAATCGCAAAACTATGCAATAAGAACTCTCAGCTTTTTTGTAGCGTATTGCCTTAGTCGATAATATATGCAATGTTAATTAGTGAAGTTAATTAATTAGTGATATGTAAAATCACATGAGGGACATTCAAAATTATTGTATTTTCTTTCCAAAGATTAAGTAAACGCTTTTGTAATTAATAGAGTTTTCCTAATAATTAAATTATTTCAATTATTCTGATTTATTTACTATTTGTTTAAATATTTTTATCATTCGTGAATTAATAACCGTTTAAATCTCTCTTACCTCGGTCTGCATTTCATTTCACTCTTGATTAGGATTAAATCTCGATCTTGCAGAGATTATTCCGTATTGGAAGAAAAAGCGATAGTTTTGAAAACCTCCCCTTCTCGAGAGGGAAGATTTGCCTTCTTTGGCCTCGGTTGAGAAAACCCCCGCGACATTCTCGATAAGATGTATCCGTCGTAGTTTTCTCTCTTGTTCACTATAAAATTTAAAGAAATTGTATTTATCGTATGTGTGTGTGTGTGTGTTTGTTGCAAATATACATACACATATGTACATACATGAATCTAAATTAGCACAAATTAATCAAACGTCAAACATTTGTTTGCAATAATACACGAATTATACACATGTACAAAATTACATACATATTACATAGCGATATAGAGAGAAACATGCAGACTATGACACACATTACCTATTGTAGCAGTTACAGATCAATGTTCGTATGTCGTGCGGATATTCGTATTTAAACATGTTAAATGTGAATCATTGTATCTCGACTGCCGCTTTTTGTGCTGATGAGATGTATATGTAAATTGATGAAAATCTTTTTAATTGGTAAATTTAAATTCTTTTTTTTCCCAGAAACAACACTTTCTCTCTCATATCCTTAATTATTTTTACAACATTAGAATTAAATGTCTAAAATCAGATGTTACGTTTGTTTGTTTGTTTTTTTTTTTTTT